CACTTGAATAATGATTAATTAATTCTCAAACGTTACAGACGAAGAATTTATATTTGGTGAACTATTTCTGTTGAAGAGACAAACTCAAAACAAACAATGAGAAAGAAGTGAAATCTTCATTCAGAGATGCAACTACAAGTGTATGTATCTTAATTTGGTTTGACTTTGATTAATCAGAAATTCGTATCACAAGTGGGATTATATTAATTAAAAAGTAGGCTTCATAATATTCAAAAGAGAAGAACGAAAGCACTACATTAATTAAAGTAAACATTGCTCGATTAGTTGCGTCAAGCATTCTTGAATAGACCATGCAACTGATTACACTTATGGTTGTCTGAAACCTACCCAATCCCTCTCTTTTAGTTCTTTTTCCTTCCCCTCCTTTTTTTTTTTGGTCACGTGGGGGGTTTTTTTTTTTTTTTGAGCTTACCTACTCATATTGTAGACTTGGTTATATTTAAGCCTTTGAGCCAAGGGGAAAAAAACTGACCAAATTTTAATTGCAACACAACTTCATTATTAACATATACAAGATGGTTCAACCGACGTGAGCCTTATATGTTGCACGGAGTTTAAGAAATGAGCCCTGCTATTCATGTATGAATAGTGTGATGAATTGAGGAATGTTTGATTTGATAAGTCAAGATAATCCAATTAACTTGATTTGGAGTTTTTGGTTTGAGCCTTTGAACATGTATTCATGTTAAATAAAAATACCATGACCATTTTCGGAGTACTCATAAGGCGGTTAATAATAAAAACAATCCCACATAGCACATGTTGAAGTAATCTGGTTGGTGGTGGTACTGTTGCAAGATACGGAAGAGGGGGAAAAATTGTGGTTAGCCTAGCATGGAGTTAAAAAAATAAGTTATACTGTATTTATGCTCATGAGTAATGTGGTTAATCATGATTTTTATATTTTTTTTATGGAATATGAATTTTTGTATTATGCATAAATTATTTAGAGTCAATTTAATTTAGGAAGATCCATATTAAAAATAGATTTAGTTTTGATATTTTTAATTAAAATTATATTTTTTACAAGTTTATAGTTGAAAAATTATTATTATTATTTAGTCTAAATAATTCGAAAATGTCTTAAATTTAAATTGAGAATGATAACATTTTTTAATTAGATTAGGCTATACCTAAAACAAGCTTGTATCTAATAAGAGAATACATGTAAGTAACAAAAAATAAAAAAAAATAAAATACATAAAATAGGAAGGCAGTCGGATTTTGATAAAATTCAAAAAGCTAGCTAGGCAACTATTGAAAGGGAAAATAAATGGAAAAAGAATAAGAAGCTCAGAGGAAAAAGGTGCACAAGCATGCAATTATACAAGCTGTCTCGTCTGGTAATTAATTAATTAAAGTGCATTGTAATCTAATTGAGAAATGTCAATTAATCTACTTGATTGTTTAAGATCTCCATCTTGAACGCTCGATAATTAGTGATTTGATTTTTGCTAAATTTAAATTGATTATTTTTTAACCTTGGAGCCACTATTTTTTGTATAATATCTAAATATTGATGAATTTATTTATATATTTTATATTTTATTTTATATCAGTCTAGGAAAAGTCATATTTTTCACGAAACAATGTGTTTAATTTTTAAAAATTGAACCAAAATATTAGAAGTCATCCATTAGTGATTAAAGGCCGGTTTATTTAAAATTAAAAAAATAAGTGGCTTCTCGTATAAAAATAGATTTATTTTATATACATTTTTATAAAAAATAAATATTATTTTATGTTTGGTTACAATAATAAAATAATATATATATTTTTAATAAAATATCTAAAAAATAAATCTCTTTTTAATCAAGAAGCATTGGTGCTTGTAAAATGAGCTATGACTTCTTAAACACAAAGTTTCGAGTTTGAGTTTGAGTTTGTATGAATTAGAGAATTGTTTTAAAATGACTACTTTTAATTAAGCTTGACAATGCTCAAATCTAACCCAATAGTTGTATAAAAAAATCATTTTATAAAATTTTTAAATGGTCTAAAAATCATTTGTTTTTAAATCTTAAACATAAATATCCTAAACAAACATGATAAAATTTCATAAACTAGTTTAAAAAAATAAATGATTTTTTATTAAAAACAGGAGAATGGCGTTGAAGGCACTAAAAAAGAAAATTATTACAATAAAAACATATAAGTTTTGTATCGAATATTATGTTGTGAAAACATAAATATGTTATTGTCAAAAGATGAGTCTTAACTTGTTAAATTTTTTTAAAAAAATCTTAATAAAAAATATAAGTTAAGGTTCAACTTTTAATAATAACATATTCATATTTTCAAAATATAATATTTAATATAAAAATGATAAGCTTTTATTATAATAATTTTTTTAAGGCCTTTGATATCATTCTCTCCCTAACAAAACAAACGGCTCCTGAGTAAAGCTATTTTAATCTATAACATTTTTTTTCAAAGATGGATTCTAAATAGGTCTCAATCATGATCCACAAAAATCTGCAGTTTTTCTTTGGGATTATCATCATCTCAGTAAAATGATCCCAAAATGTCATTTTCGGCGATGAAATTAAAAATCATGGAAGTAACATAATGTAATAAAGAGTATTGAATTTCTTTTCACTGCATTTTCTTTTTATTGAAAATTTAAGCCGCTTAAGTTAAATTTAAATTATGAGATCTAATTTAACGATTGAAAAGAAGGAAAGCCAATTCTTAATAAAAAAACCATTGAATATTAAATAAGATCTCTTAGAATATTTTTCTTTTCAATAAAAGGATAAGAACAAAGCCTCGTAAGGTTTAAATATCTTTTAAAGTAATTTTATATTTAAGTTTTAATGACGCTTTTGTCCTTTTAAATTGACTTTCTTATCATTGGATCCTTGCTAAGATTTTCGAAAATGAAGGCCTTTATTAACATTAACTTACTTTACAGGACCCATGAACGTCATTTCCCCTATAATCTTCACGCCAAAAGCATTTGCTGAATTCTCTTGCTTGCTTATAACGACAGACAATCTCTACCGCTCGTAATAGAGTTGGAAAACGAATTGGACTTACAGCTCATTTAACTCGTATAATTTAATAAATTAGGTTAAAAGATTTGCTTGTATTTTAAAATGGGTTAGACTAAGGTTAAAGAAATTTGCTCATTTTTTAAAACGGGTTAGGTTATCCAACCTGCAAAAATCGCCGACTAAACGGGCTGGCCGCTAGATAACATATTTTAAAAAAATAATTTTTTATTTTTTAATTATATTATATCTTTTTATAAATCTACAATAATAATAATATTTTTTAAATATATAATTTATAAATTTTAAATATGTTCTTTACATTTGAAATATAGTGTAAATTTTTTCATAATTTGCAAATAAAATTTTTGTTACAGTTTGTGAAGATGATTTATTAGTTTTTATAAAAATATTTTGAATATATATTATTTATTAATCTCATAATATCTATTGATTGAAATTATAAATATGAATTCATTGAAAAAAATAATATGGATTTATATTCAAATTTTTTTTCTTAGTGACAAAGATAGCACGCTTAGGCGAGAAGATAATTGATAGTAAAAATCTAATAAAATGAATTTGTTTAGTTAAATTTTATGTTTATTTTATTTATTTATAAGTTTTTTAATTACTAATTTACTTTAAAATATGAAATAAATATATATATTTATATTATATAAATTTTAAATTATTAAAAAAATTTTAAAAATTTTTTGCGGGCAGCCCGCAAGGGGGCTAGCTTGCTAGAAAATAGATTGAATTGAATTTTTTAATTCATTTTATCTGATAGATTGACCCAACTTAATCTATAAAAATATCAACCCGCATGAACTGATCCGTAAGCTGTTTGTCCAATACTAACTCACAGGCGCAAAGAAACAAAGAGAAGAAGACCATGGTAAAAGATCGGAAAATCGGTGTCGCCCTCGACTTCTCCAGAAGCAGCAAGAATGCTCTTAAATGGGCTCTGGACAATTTGGCTGATAAGGGCGACACCTTTTAAATCATCCACATCAAATCCCAATTCCCTCGATGAGTCCCGTCCGGTTCTCGTGAGTCATTTTCTTACGCTATTTCTTAGATTTAGCGAAGCGATGTGTGGGATTCAGACCAAATATTATGCATACACATTACACAATTTAATGCATTCATCCTCATTTTTATTCTTTCTTTCTTTTTTTGGGTTGATTTTTGTTTTTCACTTATATCTTGAATATTTTTTTAGAGTAAACATGTACTTTTAATCTTTAAATTTTATATTTTTTGTTTAAATTTGTTCTTTTTAATTTAGCTTAAACATGCTTTTAAAAAATGTCTAACATTTTTCATCCTATCAACATCTTTTTTTATTTTTAAATAGAAAGCATCATAAATTATATTACCAAGTATTCATCATTTTTTTAAAAAAAATACATATTTACATGTATTTCTTATTTAATTATGGTATATAAATTTAAAACACTAATTTAATATCAATTAGTTAAACCACAATTTGACCAATAAACCATGAACTAGTATATAATCAAGTTCAACAACTAGTTCAGTTTTTAAAAACTTGACTTGCCCACCTAAAAAGACAATAGTTCCTGCATGGATAAATGCCTAAGATGCCACTCTCTCAACCATAAGAACTGACAAATTAATTTTGTCCACAATTTATTAAATCAATAATTGGGGAAACTTCACAAAAGATTTGACCAGGTAATGTAAAAATTATACATTATTACAACCAGTCATCTGCCAAAATCTCACAAGCAGCAAAAGCATGCAAAGCAAACTTTTCTTTGGGGTATTAGACAAGCAGATATAGATTGGGAGTGCAAAACTTCTAAACAAGGCCAAAACAAAAATGGTTCGCTGGGCTTACATAACATGGGACCTTTTAACTTTAAGCTAAAATCTCAGTGAGAAAAAAATAGAGAAAACCAAAAATAGTGCACAAACTCCCTAAGATCCAACAGAAAAATAGAAGTAGAAACTCATTTAAGCTCCGACGATTACGGTGGGAGCCTCAGCCATCATCTCATCTACAGGTCTGTCTACCTTCACACCAACATCTTCCGAATAGTCACCATGAACCTACAACAAAAAAATCAAGAGGCATCACACCAACGAGCATGAATGATGATAGAACAAAACAAACAGTGAATTAAAAGTCATCACTCACAAGATGTGCATTATGTTATCCATGTAGAGATATATGAAATCTGATTAAACAATGGATTTAAGAAAAAGGGAAGTACCTCCATTAGTTTTCCAAGATCAAACTTAGGAGCCTTCAAGATCTTGACTTTGTGAATGAACACATATTGCAGAAGATAGATGCTAGATGTTGCCTTCTCAAGATCCTTTCCAATCACCTCAGGGAGAAACTTGCGGACCAATTCTTTCAAGTCACAGGATGTAGCATGGTTAGTCATGATCTCCCTCATCTTCCTGCGGATCTGAAAAGATACAGAAGCATTTTTTAAATTGGCAATCTCACACAGAAGTGCGCAACATATATTTCTCAGGGAGTGACCATTTGCCCTTAAGAATGACATCTGAAATGTAAGCCATAGGCATATTGTATGTTTATTGAGAATAAACAAGTTCTGATAGATCATCAAAAGATACATACTTTTAAGCTTCAATCAGTCATCAACAAGTTCTTTGGAATGTTCAAGTAAGTGTTACTATTATTCAACACTATGAACATCATTCAAGCAGTTTCGATGGTGATGGTGCAAGAGTTCACAGAAGTTTGTTTCCTCATAATCTTCAAGACCCACTGGTTATTTACAATCTATGGCAGGACAGTTATTTGAAGGTATCACCAATTGTGGACAGTCCTGGTACAGGTTCTATTGCAGCCACTCTTGTCCAGTCTCCGTTGGAATTTGAGGAGGGAGAAATTGAGGGACTAAACTGAAATTTTTTTTTATTGTACTCAAATTATAATATAGACAAACGCTCATATTTTTACTTTAATTTTTGGGAGAATTTCAAATAAGGAGACTTAATTACTAGCGGGTGTCAAAAAATTTTTAAATTTCAGTTCAGTCAAAAGATAAAAGTAAAAATAATTTCAATTGTGAAAAGATTAAAATACCTTTCATTTCTTATGCAGAATTCCTAATTATTAATTTTTTTGCTCCACTTATTAATTTATTAATATGAATTATAAATTACATGAGTTAACATGTCAATAATTATATAAGACTTGACATTAGTTATTCAATTATAAGCATCAACATCAATTATTAAATTGCTAACTTTACTTGTTAATTTACTAATATAATTTATAAATTATTGACAGGTCTTATAATTTACAACTAATGTTAGTACACTAATAAGTAAAGTTGACAAATTAATAACCAATGTTACTGCTTGTTTGACAAACAAATGTAATTTATAAGTAAAATTGATTAATTAACAAGTGAACTAAAAAAATTAACAACTAATAATTTTGGCATAATAAGTAAAGGATACTTTGATCTTTTTACAATTAAAATTATTTTTACTTTTAATTTTTTTAGAGTTTATTAGTAATTAAATCACATCCTTAAAAATTCTCTCTTGATTTTTTCTCACTCTTTCTCCCCCCTTGCTTTTTCCGACACTCCTCGAACTATACTCTGATGCAGATCCTCTTAGAATCAACGTCCCAATCTGATTCCTTGAATAAATATCCAATATCTCATATTTTTTACATCATCTCTTGTAAAAATAATTTTATTTAAAAAAATAATTCTTTCAATTTGTTCTAAAAATTTGCTCTTTATATTTTTTAAATAAATTTTTATTAAATAGACCAAATCAAAGTTTAAATGAGCCAGACCATAAGTATTTGACTACAATCTGACTTACTTTGTAAATTTTTTTAAATATATTTTTATTAAATAGATCATGCCATTTGAATAAGTCATATTGTATGTGCCTGCTTATTGTCTCATTTACTTTGTTATTTTTTTTTCAACCAAATTTTTGTTAAATAAGTCAAGTTAGAGTTTGAATAAGCTGGACTATAAATTTTTTGTAAAAATATGTGTAATTTTTTAGAACAAGTTTCGAAAAAAAAAAATAAAATAAAAAATCAATTTTATAAAAGAATTATTTTAAAATAAAATTATTTTTACCTGAGATGACATGGTAAAGTGTGAGACATTAAATATTTTATTGAAGGGATCAGATGTGATGCTGAGGGATGCTGAGATAAAACAATTATGGGAGGATCTGCATCCCACTACACTCACACCTTCACTCACTTAGTGTCTGGTGTCACCTTGCTTCTTCATCTCTTTTCTTTCACTCTATCACACGCACATCGAGACTAACACACACGTTTGTGAATGGCGCTGACGGATTTCATCTAGAACCTTCTTCATTCCTCAATTCTCCACCACCATTCAAGTCGGTTTCTTCTTCCACATCATTTTAGAATTTTCTTTTCTTTTACTGCCACACACTTCTTCAAAATTCTACAGCATTCCCCTTTTTATTTATTAGTCGGTGATTCTTGACAGTCTCTGTATAACGTGACTGTGGATTTCATTGAATCCACCTCTCGAGGCTTCAAGCGCTAGTTCCATGAATATTACGATGAAGCTTATGGTTTTCAGGGAGATTTTTCTAGAAAAGATACTCTATGTCCCACCATGATCAGATTATTGATATTTGAGTTTTCGTGCAGCTGCTGAGAGATCCATAATGCAGTGCCACATCTTCTACTTCTTTTTGTTTCATATGTTATAGAACCTCATCCATTCAAGCAAAGAAAATGACAGGAGCATTCGAACAATATTTTACAATAATCCAAAATTTTACGGTATGTTATTGCACAAAGAATAATATCAATTGAAAATAGTCTCTCAAGTTTGAATAAATGTAAAGCTATATTAATCAATTTATCGTCCTTAATGGCCCTAGGCATAGGTTTAGCTTCTTCACTTAAATTCGATTTGGCAAAATTTTAATTGACAAACTATGATATGAGATAACAATTATAGTAAAATTAATGTTAAGTGACAAAAGTAGTACAAAAGATGAAATAAAATAACGTAAATAAGATAACATAAAATAAGATAAAATAAGATCAAATTAGATATCATAAAATAAACAAGACAAGATGAGATAAATAAAATAAGAAGAGGTAAGGTAGGGAAAGATAAGATAAAATATCATAGATAAGATAAAATAAAATATAATAGTTAAGATGAGATGAGATGAGATACTAAGTCAAAAAAAAAAAAATACCAACTTTATCCTCTGTCACATTGAATCTAAGCTCTTTTTTTTAACCTTTTTTTTCCCTTCAAATCAACCTTTTTTTCATCCTTTTTTTCAATTTTATTGCATGATTGTTTTCAATAATATTGCTGGCTTTTTTCTTCAAAGCATGTTGCCTTTTGTTTTAATTTGAATTCGTATGGCAAGAGATCCAATGAATAAATTATTTTTTACAAAAAGAGAATGGATAGAAAAGATATAAATAGATGAAAAATGGATGAATAATATATGGAAGAAATGTGAATAAATGAAAAAATGATTATGATAAGTAATGAAGAATACAATGGGAAGACACAAGTTGAAAAGGCAACCAAGATTCTAATACTAAATGATAGGGACAATTGAATGATAGCTGATGATAATCCAAAATCTCATGATATGTTGTCTCACAAAGAATAGCATTAATTGAAATAGTTTCACAAGTTTAAATAAAATTTAAAACTATATTAATTAATTTATCATCCTTCTTGACCTTAAGTACAGACTTAGCTTCTTCTCTATACCTTAGAATCTTTCAATTTGAAGGTTGAATTTGAGTCCCTCAAGTTAGAGGTTGAAGGGTTTTGATCATTTGGCTTAAAAACTTTTCTCAATTTTGATGCCCTTGTACACTAACTCTTCCCTACCAGAAAGCATATACTTCTAAACTTTCAGTCGAGGCAATGGCTTGTCACTTCCTATAGGAACAATCAAAATGCTTGGTACTTTTCAGGAGGCTTAGAGGCATGTTTAAACCAATGGCACTTCCTCAGAAAATGACTCTCTATCGATCAATGTTCGGTTATCTCTTCAAGTAGATGGTTCTTCATGTGTCTACTTGCTTGATGGTTTCGTTGCTGTCAAACGTTCTTGTTTTTATGTTTTAGCTTACTGTTTTTCTGGTCTTGCTCACTTTTGATTTTTAACTTTGTTTTTGTTTGTTGTTGTTCTTGCTGGATTTTCCCAGGCTCGTGTTTGTAATATTTTCACTTGGTTTAACAATATTTGATTTTCCACCAAAACAAAAAGAATAACAGCTACACCTAGACTATGAGATTCCCTCAACAGGTTTGGGTGAAAAACTCTATCCCTAGAAATTTTATTGGTTCTAAAATTGCTTGCCTTCTAGTTTGCATTCCAAACAATACAATCCTCAAAAACAAGGAAATACTCAGTACTTTAGGAAAAGTAATCGGTTTACTTGTACCTATCTTGCACTGGTGCATTCATATCCTATGCATCAAACCCTAAATGTTTAACTTATAAAAAAATTAAAAACAATATATATTGTAGCCCTCCATTTTATATTTGCAATTTAAACCCCCCTAACCAACTGATGAAATTCTAGATTCATCCCTGTTTTCATAGATTGGCCACGATCTTTAGCTGAAAGGAATGATGTGTTTGACCTCCTTGTTCCTCTAATACATAATAGAGAAACTTCCATTAGTCATCGGACCAAGCTTGAAGGATTTTATCATCTCAGTTAACCCATGAGTAAGATGCTCTTAATAACATAGGTACTTAAAAGTTTTATGAATATACAATGCCATTTTCAAAAACCATATATTGCATGTCCAAATCACTTTGCACGTACGAAACTATTGAGTGTAGAACTCTTTTAGCAATACTTCCATCTGATCTTAGAGGACTATTCATTGAGGATACAGTTTCATTAATTGTAAAAACCGAATCTTGGTCTGGTTGACACCCCAAAATCAAGCATAAGGGAACTAGTCAATAGCCAGTAAAACCAGTTGAAAACAGGACTGATTCCCTAGAAAAACCAGACCATATTTAAAATTAAAATTAAAAATGCCAAATTATATTAAAATATTAAAAATTCTTTACCATGAGCTGCAATTTTTACAAAAGTAAAGCTCAGCCTCTTATACTTGCTTTCTGGCGTGCTCCACCCTTTTCTTTTACAGTCATGCGCGCCTCCATTCCCCTTCTGATACAAGCGATTTAGCGAAGCGATGTGTAGGATTCTAACCAATATTATGCATAGATGCCCAATACACAGTTTAATGCATTCACCCTCATTTTCTTCTCTTTTTTCTTTTTCCCTTTTGACTTGGGTTGCTTTTTTTTAAGAACTTTATATTATTTGTTTAAATTTGATCTTTTTAATTTAACTTAAACATGCTTTTAAAAAATGTCTAACATTTTATTATTCTATCAACTTATTTTTATTTT